CGGCCCGCGGCTTCTCTCCCCGGAGCCCTGGCTCGGGCGGAAGCGCCGGGAGTGTCCCGGGAGCACCCGCCTGGCCCCTTGCTCACCCTGTGTGAAGGACGTGGAGCGGTCTCAGTAATGGGCCCGGGGTGCCGGACGCGCGGGTGGTGGTCGTGGTGGTCCTGATACGGGAGCGAAAGTGCAGGTTGTGGCCTGTCGGGCGCTTTCGTCGTACGGCCATCCTTTTGTCGCCCTGATATGGGCCAGTCTATCCCGTCAGCCCCCGGCAGAGAATAAGTCTCGAGAAGTCTTTGCGGCCTTGTTAACTTCCAGGCCCTGCCTGGCCGCAGAGACGGGGCGGCGAGAGGAGGCAGCGGCCCCTGCCCTGTGCAGGGCCAAACCCGGAGGCTACAGGTGGAGACCGGCCGCCGTTCGCGCGGAGACCAACGGAGGCCATAGATGCTTTCAGTAAAGCCCCAACTCCCACGAGGCCCACAGGATCCCAAAACCTGGCCACCTTTTATTTTTCCGGCCTCAATTTTTGTCAGTATCACCCCCCCCCACCTTGTTTGTCCTCTCCCCCCCACACCCCGCCCCAATCACATGACCCAACCACATTGCACTTGCTGAAGCTGCTGTGGTATTTCTCACCTTTGGCCTTCCTTGGTCGAAGCCCTTTCTTTTGCCTGGACCCCAGTTACCGCCGCCTTTGCTTGCCTAGGGAATGTGTACATCTTGTCACCCTTACCCATTACCTAGCACAGTGACCCCCACATATAGGCTCTCCAGTATTGGTTGAACGACTCCAGTCGTTACAACACCTAAATTTAATGTTCTGAAGCAGCCTCGCCATCGTACGGGGTGGTATATGATGGGGTGAGGGATTATGAAGTTGTTTCCTGGTGTTTGTAAATCGAGGTTCATCATTTTCACTTTTGGTAGTTTCAACTCAGTCTGTCTCTGCGCCACCCAGCACCCTACCCCGCAGTGTGTACTGCTCTGTCAGATCTGGGCAGTGACTGAGCTATAAGGGAGATCCTGATATTCTACTTTTCATCTTAATTGTTATGCCAGCACAGCAGCCCAGGGTAAAGAACAGGGATTTTCAATCAGATCAGATTTGCTTTTTGACTAGCAGGATGACCTAGGGAAATGGGGAGGGGTTGGGGGGGCAACCTCCCCCTATAAGCATTCATAAATGTGATTCAGATCCCTTTTATATCCAACTCCAAAGGCAAACTGCTGAAAAAAGAAGAATTTTTGTTACTTTTCCCAGAGGGGGGACCTCCAAAATCATCTATTAAGAGAATTGTGTTGAAGCCGTTTATGTATCCTGTGTTTATCCCACTTTGTGCTAATGGTCCCCACAGGTCACTACAGAAAACACATTCAATTGCAGGGTGCTGCCAAGGGTGTTAATTTGGTGTACCATATGTGCGCCTTTCTCAAATCCAAAGAATCTGAATGCCAGAACATTCCAAGGGCTCTGGATAGGCAGTTACAGACCTTCTGGGTCCTACACTACAAGGTCATTTTTTGGACTGGGGTGATGTACATAAATACAAGAGTAACACGTCAATGAATGGTAGTTATGGATAATCCATCAGTTTAAACACCACCAACAAAATATGTTTAAGCCGCTATCTGTTCTTCATCTTTTGGAAAAGTTGGCTTCTTCTATGTGAATTGGGATCGGGGTATTCTGTGAAAGAAGGAAGCCATAGGTCAAGGAGAAAAAAATTTCAACGTTTTTTAGCATCTAGAATGAGCACAACCTGAGAATAAAATTTTCACTTGACCACATTTCTGAGGTTTGGGGGTCCAGCTGGTCTGCACCATGGTTTAAATTAATCACAGCTTTTGGCATTTTGTGTTCTGGTCAAGACTGTCTCATTGGAAACCAGGCACTTCGGTTGGTGGCATAAAGAAAAAGCAACTAAATGTAAATTATGTAGCCGGTATAAAGAAATTTCAACAAACTTTAAGAGATTTTTACAGTAGTTGTTCACAAATCATGATCTGTTAAAATGGCAAGGTATGTGTGATAAAAATAACTCCCAATTTGGAACGTTCCTGGATAACCATTGAATCAAGGAGGGTAACAAAAGCAGAACCACATGCTGTCTAGAAAGCACTGGAAAGAAGACAAGCAAAATCTAAGACACGGCGAAAGCCTCATAGACTCAAATGAGAATTTGGGTTTTATGTATTTTCATTGTGAAGGAACACTGAAAATAATGAAATTTGGTTCTGATGATATTAAGAAGTAATCACTCTTAACAGAAAGGTAAGTAAATCCAAAAATTGGTTCTTTGAAACAAATTCTCAGAAGTCCCTTTAAGGAAAAAAGCAAATACATCTAGAAAAGACGATATAGGAGGTGAAATCACAGATACAGGAGACTACATGTTTCAAGATAGCCACAAATTCAGAAATCTGGAAGAAACAGATGACTTCCTAGACAGGTTACCAGAAGGGAACCAGGTACTGGAAAACCCGTCCAGAACAAATGCCACTGAACAGCCAGGTAAGATCTACCAAGGAAGAGAGGCCAAGACTAGATGGAGCCGAACTCCATCCAGCCCAGAACACCTAGCACCGCTGCCCTTCAAGCCACTACGTAAAAATGGAAAGCACTTCAGTTTTTTAGTGAAGACAGCACAACTTTAGCGACAAACCTCAATGGAGACCTAAGAAAGCTAGCTAGTTAGCCGTAGGTCTGCCTCACTCATCAATATAAATGCAAAAGTTCTCTGAATATTTGCTGGCAATTAGATTCCAGAAACATACCTAAAGTATCTATCAATATAACTTGTTACAGCAAGATAAAGGATAAAATCATATGAATGGATGCTGAGACTTCTGTAAAACCCAGCAACCAAGTCTAGCGAAAACACTAAGTAAACTGCTTTATTAAAATTCAGGATATTTCCGTAAACCAATGGCAGATGTTCTCTGATTCATCTCCTTCTCTTGCCTAGCAGCTCTACTTTCGTGTAAGCTTACCTTAATTTCACTACCTAGGCTGAAAACATTTTGGTTACTGTAGATCCGGCTTCACCTGCTTGTTAGTCCTTTGAGCTCTAGGCTTCACCTGATAATGGCCCCCCCTTCATTAGTAATGTCATAGCAAGAAGCTGCTCACAGACTGCATATAAGTATTCATCTCGCCCTTCTCTTTCCCCCTCATTCTTGCCAGACGTAAGGAAAGGTCAGGCTTTCAGTGGGCCACTACTAAGGAGAACCGAGACTAAGAACCCTTCTTTCACATACTCTAGCCTTAAAAGCTTACAAATCCTGCCCATACGGTGGTTAACCAGCTGTACGTGGGGGCGTAGGGGCCTCATTTCTTTAGAGCTGGTGGGGAACATTTCCATTCAAAAGGGAAACAGCGTGCGTGCGCAGCACTCAGGAATGTTGAGGTTTGGCGGAAATGGGCAGGCCAGAAGGTGAAAGAAGTTTTGCAATACTTTCTTAAGCCCCAAAGGGAATCAAATCTGGCCGCATTCATCTCTTTGTTACCAGAGGTTAGCCTACAGACCACACATTTTCCAAACCTTCAAGACTTCTAAAGCTTGTATTAAAATTCCAAGCATCTCTGACACACTTCTCAAGCAGTCCAGTGCCCTCAGCCTAGTTCTCAGGAGCTCAGGGAGTCTACGGCAGGTGGCAAACCGCACTCGCCAGGCCCCTTTGTTAAAAAGGTTCAGAGAGGAGATGACAGTTCCATGAGCTCGTCTGTAGCGCTTAACACATCATCAGTACTAAAAAAGTTCGAAGACTGTTGAAACTGGAATGTATATAAGTAGGTATATATTTGCTTTCATCGGCCTAATTGTATAATTTTATAATGAGATAATTTCATCATTTCTGGGTATTTGATATGATTGAGAAGCTATTGATGCCTTATGTGTCTTTTATATCCATGCAAAGTTAAATGTATATGTTATAGATATACGTGTATTTTTTTTTTTTTTTTGCAGATTGACAACTTTACTAAAGATGTCTAAGGTAAGAGCTCACTTCATTTATCTACGGTATGAGGAGAGACTTATTTTTCAGACTGTTTATAGTCAAGAGTTATTACTCATTGTTTTAATATAAGTGATATATATGATTCATTAAAACAGATTTCTAATTTAATTGTCCTAAAAGCTTTGAGCTTTCTTATTTCAGATTTCCAATTTCTTGTTTCTAAACACCTCAATAACAATCCATTTAGGGTCTTTAGATCATTTCCAGAAGACTAATCAAAAAATAATTTAAAATTCTACTAATTATCAGGATGAAATTGGCGGGACTCTTAAACCTGATAAATTGGCTTACATTAGCCCTTGCAAATTAGCCCAGAACCTTGAAGTAAATTAGTTCTAAAAGGCATGCTGAGAAAAGCAGAACTTGAGGTTAAAATTACAAGATTATCATTTCTTTTTGCCTTTTGTTTTTGAATCTCTGGGTGTTCCTTATCGTCTGATGCCTAAGCATCACACTGACTTTTGCTTTTTATACAAGTATTAGTGTAGAACACAAATAAGGGGAAAGGAAAATAACTGTAATTCCATCACCCAGAAATAACCACTTTTGTGAATAACATTTTGGGAATGTTGTTTTTACACATGTGCATGTGTGAATATACATGTAGAAAATAAATCAGTTCGTCTAATGTGTCGGTTGCTGTGTCTTTGATTTCCTCCCATTTATAGTAGGCCACTGCCCCGTTCTCCAGCTTTCCTGTGCTGGCTTTGTCAGATATCACTCCTCAGATCAGGTGTCCAGACGTCTATCAGGGAACGTCGACATTCTGGCATTGTCAGCTGTGATCGCGTCCTCATTCTCAGTCTTCTCTCTCTCAGTCTTTGAAGCTAGATATTCAAAAGCTGACCCCTCAGTTGCCTGCCTTGTCCTTGATGAGGCTCTGTTCCGTAGAGCTAGGTATATAGCTAGAGACATGATGTTTCTTGAATACTTTTCACAAAGACATCACACCTGACACCTGGAATTATTTTCTTTTATGGATTGTTTAATCAGTTAACAGAAATGTAATTTTAGGTCAGCATATTGGCAGGGAATAATACTGCATTGGTTTTTCTTTTTAACGTTCTTAAGTGAGTACCATCGGTTTTCTGATAGAAGCGACATTTTGATGTTATATGTTTTTAATTTGCAAGAACTAGTGATATATATGTCACAGCTTGATTATATCTTAAAAGCAACTAATAAGGTGTTTATTTGCTCTTTTTTTTTTTTTTGGTAAAATCTTGTTTTAGCAACAACCAACTCAGTTTATAAATCCAGAAACTCCTGGCTATGTTGGATTTGCAAATCTTCCCAACCAAGTTCACCGAAAATCAGTGAAAAAAGGTTTCGAGTTCACACTGATGGTGGTCGGTAAGAAATTAACTTCTACTCTCCAGCTTATTAAGTGTGTGGCTGTCTCCCCATCCCAACCTGGGATATAATGATAGCATTACCCCTAACATCATAGGGAAAATTCCTTTGATAGCAGAATCAAATAATTTGGGAATTTGGGGGACAGAGAATTTTTAGAAAATTTTGCTTGAGTAAAATTATAATTTTTCTGTCATTTATTTATATGTAGTGAAAGTTTTTACTCACTGTGGCAACAAGCTTCCAAAATGTCACCCACTGATCCTTACCTGCTGGTATTCGTGCAGCTTTCCAGTGCCCTCCCACTTTGAATAGGGCTCACCTGTGTCGCCAGTAGTTCACTGCAGAAGTGAAGGTGTATGGCTTCAAGACTGGGTCATAAAAGACGTGTGGCTTGTACCTTGCCTTCTCTTGACTCACTTTTCTGGGGGAAGCTAGCCACTGTGTTGGAAAGACACTCCAGCAGCATTATAGCGAAGCCCCTCAGGGCAAGGAGTTGAAGCTTGCCAGAAGCCATGTAAAGGACCATCTCAGAAACACCCTTCAGCCCCAGTTAAGCCTGTCATGATAGCCATCTTGGCTGACATTGGCTGTTACTGCATGAGAGAACCGCTGCCCCCAAGCGATAACCACCCACAATAGTACACTCCCAAATTCCTGACCCGAAAAATGTATGAAATAATAAATGTTTATTGTTGTTTTAGGCCTCTGAATTGATAGTAATTTACATATTAGTAGATAACTAATACACGTTTAATCAGAGGTGTGTTTAATACTAAAAAAAAATAACTCCTTAAATTTTTACGGTGGATGTATTTTATTTTTATTTTTTTTATTATTTATTATTGTTTATGCCTACAGCACCTGGTCTTCCTAGGTGATCTCCCATCCAAGTACTGACCAGGCCTGACTTTGCTTAGCTTCTGAGATCAGACATTGGGCTTGTTCAGGGTGGCATGGTCATAGACCATGGACCGTGGCTCCACTAGGGCACAAACCCGGGACCTTCTGCATGTAAAGCAGATGTGCTAACTGCTACACTATGGAACCACGTCCTTATGGTAGACGTATTTTAAACAAACAACAATACTTACTATACAAGGTTTTTAAAAATTATTAAAGTCCTTTGAAATTGAAATTTTTTTCTGTTGTATCAGATATATTTTACCATGGGCTGGAGCATGTCTATTAGCAAGCCTAACATGATGAGTTAGTTACCGGCCGAGGAGCTGTAAACTCTGCTAACCATGTCGCATTTTATTTCATTCTCGATAACTGCAGAATTCTCCAAAACATGCGGAGGTAGGCTGGTGATGGTCACGTATGAGTAGGACAGATGATTGTCTCCTGGGTTAAATAGCTCATAAATCTGAAATGAAAGAAATTTTTGGGACCTTTGGTCCAGAGAACTGAATAGTGACATGTTTTAGGATCACAATTACGTGATAATGATCGTGCAAGTTCAAGTTCCTAATACAAGAGAGAATTCCAGTGTAATCTGTCACAGTTACTTAATTTTAATGCATTCAAAAATAGGCAATAATTTTTGCTTCTGGCCATGATAGAGTAATTTGTTTATTCTATCCTTCCCTAAAGGGCCAGGTGGTAAATTTTTAAGGTTTTGTGAACCATACATTTTTCAGTACAACCATTCAACTCTACTGTGGTCATGGGGAGCAGCCGCTCGCAATGTCAACAGATAGGCAAGTAGTGTTCCAGTAAGCTGTATTTACAAGGTGGCAGACTAGGTTTGATCTGCGGGTTGTAGTTTGCTGATCTCTGAAATAACTGCCATCAGACTAGTAGTCCTCCTGGCATGAAGATCTAAAAGGCTGATCAAAATAGAGCAACAAACAGTTCTTTTAGGACATTCTGCAATAGGCAGTGCGGACTTCCATCCTTGAGAGAAGGAAAAGTTTACACACTGTAAAGTCGTTCCCGCTTTCTGCCATTTACCTGCTCTGCTCCAGGAAGAAGTCAGCACAAGGGTCTCAGAGCCGAAGGGCGGATCACAGTCCAGGGAAGCTGAGGTGACTGGGTCCTGAGATAGCATGGCAGAGTTCCAAAGAAGAACTCCAGAGATCCGCATTGGGGTTCCTCAGACACTGCGGCTGAACACGGAAGTGCTTGTGGGTGGGGTTAAATTTCAGAGGCTAGGCAGCATGGAACCACGGGACTGAGCCAAACTGGAGATTACGCAGAGTTAGACAGTCAGAGCGGGGTCCCCGGGGGAAACCCCAGAAAGCCCCTGCTTGGGAGGGTAGGGCCGGTGCAAACGTGAAGGCTGCTTAAACCCTCCCCAACAAAGCTCGAAGCAAGACCTGAAAGGATCCAGCTGATTTGCAAATTACTTTCCAGGACAAGGCCCATCACTCAGAGGACATCGAGTCCAGGCCTTTGCAGCGTAACATTCACGATACCTAGTATCCAGTAGGAAGTTATTTATTGGGTATGCTGAGAAGCCAAAAAATTGGCACATAATTAGAAAAATTAGGCAGTAGATTCAGAAATGGCAGGTGCTAGAATAGACAAACGAGGACTTTAAGTATTTTAAATGTGTACCTGCACTTAAAGGAAAACATGAATGTAATGAGATAAATGGAAGGAAACAAGAAAGAACCAAATGGAACTTCCAGAGATTAAGAAAAATACAACATCTGAGATGAAAAGGTTTCTGATTGGCTCAACAGCAAATTACGCACTGCAAAGAAAAGGCCGCAAGAAAGCATCCGGGCTAAAAGAAACACCAGAGCGATTCGAAGAAGAGCACGCCAGGGCACGCAGGGGGGAGGAGCTGAGAACCACTGGTGAACAGAGAAAATCAAAATTAGCTAGGAAAATGCATACAGGGATCAAAGGTAAGACCGCTGACTTCTCATGAGGAATGACGGCTTAAAGTACCGAAGGAATAAAATCGTCAGCCTAGAGTTCTGATTATCAAAAAAAACCCTTTAAAATAAAGGTTAAAAAAAAGACGAAATACGTGTTCAGATAAATAAGCTGAGACTTTATCACCGTTAGACTGGCACATAGGAAATCTTAAATGAGGCTCTGCAGGCCAACGAGAGGGGAGAGCACTGGAAATGCAGATATGTTGGTGAACGTAAGAGGCTTCTTGCTTTTTAAGTTTTTCAAAGATAACTGGCTTTTAAACAAGTAATGTGGAACATGGAGGAATGAAATGAACAGGGTTAGCACAGAGGACAGGAGGGTAAATGAAGCATCTCGTAAGCTTCTTGGGTTACCCGATGCCATATAATATTTGAGGGAAGACCGCCAAGTTAATTAATGGTGCATATTTGAACTCCATTGTGGCCACTAGAAAAATAAAGATTTGGTGAAAAGTCAGTAGCTTCAATAAAATAGAATATATTTTTTAAAAAGTACTCAATTCAAAAGAAAGGAAAAGAAAAAAAAATAGAAAAAGTGTAGCAGAAGACAGACTCGAACACAACCGTGTCAGTTACATGCTGATGGACAAGGCAGAGTGAAAGGAAGGATGGTTGCAGCAGCAGGAGGGTGGACTGGCAGACGGCTGTGCCCGTGCAGGAGCACCGCTCAGTGTGTGCAGCACGGTTAACTACGCTCAGGTTAATTATGCTGAGCAGGAGCAGCCAGGCACGAAAGAGGGCGAGCTGTGTGAGCCCACACTCGGGAAGTTCTAGGACAGTCAAAACCAGTCTGTAGTGACAAGCAGATTGACATATGCATGAACGGGGGGCTAGAGAGGGTAGAGAGATCATCTTGAGTGGAGGTCACCTGAATGCATACTGTTGTCAAAATTAATCCGACTGTACAGTTTAAATGAGTGCACTTAACTGATCAAGGTACAGGTAAACCATACCTCGGCGAAGTTGATTTAAAAGCCGTCTACGGCCATGCCACCCTGAACACGCCTGATCCTGTCTGATCTCTGAAGATAGGCTGTTTAGCACTTGGATGGGAGGCCACCTAGAAGACCAGGTGCTGTAGGTGTAAAAATATATAATATATAAAAGCAGGTAGGTGGGGGATTAAGGGTAAGATAGGTACTGAACAACTAGAAAGCTGACCACAGAACCCTCAACTTTTAAATTGTAACTGATAGTAGCTTGAGGCATGTCAGGAAAACCCCAATGTACCCAGCTTGTGAGCCAGGAACTATTAAAGAGAAAAGGTGTAGTTTTTAAAATTATGGCAGACTTCTAAAGAAATAAGAAATTTCCCAAAATGGCACACCACATGCAAATGAAAGACTACATATGTTTGGGCAGCAATCTGCAAGGAATTTTAAAATCACAAATAAATGTAAAGACCTCAAGGCAGAAGCCAGGTGGCAGGTCCATGAGAACAAGACCATGCTGCTGAAGTGCCTGCTCAAAGAGTAATAGCTGGCAATAAGTTCCATCAAGTTATTGGCCTCCCAGAATTATGCGGGGTGGCCACTCAGTTTCAAGAAAAGCAAGATTAAAATTATAAAGCATATCGCCAAATATGTTCCCTGCTTGAGAGTAGGATGGCTAGTGTGACCAAGTTCACAAGAGGGTTAGAGTGAGCGCTGAGAACTTCAGAACTAAGCTTAGAAAATGAAAATATGCTGGCGCAATTGTAGGTTCCTGCGTTCCGAGAACACACACCCAGGCTGCAGGTCATCCTTCCTGCAGGCACGTGAGCCCGGAGTGGGTGGCACTTTGCACTGGGGCCTGTGGGAACATCCTTCTCCTTGGAGCTCCGTCCTGCCATCTCCTTCACTCGTGATAGAACAGGCAGAAAAGCTGACCACTTAGAATACTGCCCTTCACGGGCCTTCGGAAAAGGCCCTTGTACCCTTGTTTGGGGGAAGCAGTTTCTTGTGTTGGTTAAATCAGATGAAAATCTAAAGCTTTCCTGACAATTTGCCTGATAGGATCTCAGGATGGTTATTGTGAAAGGAGGCTCAGCTTTTTCTCCTCTGCGCGTATTTCTCGTGTCGTGGCGCCCCCTGGTGCCTGACACTCTGTCTTCCTCATGGGTGACCGGGAACCCTTCTCAAACTCAGTGCCTCCCATCGCTGTCAGTCTTTGCTGTCACTGCTTTCAAAGGGTACCTGGCCCCAGCGTGTTTCGCGCTACATTTTTTGGACAGTGATGGATTTACACTGGTCCAAATCTCTTGGGTCTTGTTTTGCCCTTTTAAAGGCACTTGTGTGAAAAACAACTCGCTGGGGCAGAGGTTCCTGGAAGCGGAGAGAGCAGAGCCAGGCCACCCAGAGGCACACCCCGGGCCAGCGTGCTCTGAGTGAACGAGCATCGCTTGTAGGTGTCACGCAGGCGCTATTCCAAACGACGTGGCCACTTACACGCTCAGTTAAGACTTAGAATCAGCCACTGGGGTGTTGCTACTGCTGTTTGGAAAGAGGTTCAGGTGCCTCTGCTCAGGTTCTGCAACTGGTCTCTTTTCAGCTTTATTTTCCACAGCTGTCACGACTCAGCTGGTAGTAGAGCGACTGTTCAGCTTTATTTTCCACAGCTGTCACGACTCAGCTGGTAGTAGAGCGACTGTCATCTCCCTGCTGGAGTGCAGAGCTCCACGGGAGCAGGGACTGATCTGTCCTGCTTTCTCCTGTGTCCCAGCAGTGATACCTGTGCCAGGGATGCAGAAAGGATTTAGCGCGTTCTGGTAAAGCCCCTTCAAGTGTGGTAAAGGACGTAGAGGGGCGTTGCAGGGCTGCTTACTGACGGGGAACTGATAGGGTAACACATCTAGCCACATTTTCATGTTCTCGTTTGGATGTGTTCTCCTTTTAATTTCCTTTTCATCTGTGAAAATTGCAGGCTGGTTAAAGTGTGATCTTGACTTTGTCCATCTACACGTTTCACGTTCCCTCTTTGGGTCACGATTTTCCCAACAACAATGATTTTGAAACAGGCGTGTGCGCCTTCCGTGTACTGTGCGGGACTCGGCAGAGACGGTTCAGACCGGGGAGCCCAGGCGACATTGTGGCACCCGGTTCACAAGCGCCTCTCCATGCAGAGTCCAGCCTTAGATGACAACAAACAATGAAGCGATGCCGTCTGTTCTTGCTCCTTCGAGTATAAGATTTAACTTTTTGCATCTTCTTTGCAATTAGATTTCAAATATTCAGAATATGTAGTTACAGTAGTTAAAGAGAGATTTTTAATGCATTAAATGGTCATGCTCCGGTCGGCAGTGAGCGGGGAAGTTGCCTGACCTAAGGCAATAAGGCAGTTGGCAGAGTTGGGACCCCAGTGGCAGGGGGTGGGGAGGTCAAAACAGGAAGAGGGAAGTGCCCTCTCCCACCCCGGTTGCTGGCGATCGCGGGTGGGCGTGTGCACGAGAGGCTCAGCGTCTGCTGGTTTCCCCTTCCCACAGCTTGGGAGGCAGGTGTAGTGCTGTTGCCATTGTTAAGTTGGTATGTTCAGTTTTCTGAAAATGTGATAAGTTAAACACAATTAGTAACACTCAAAACCTGCTTTGCATTCTATTTATCAAAAAATAAAGATCCGTCTCTAAACTCTTCCACACACCTGTGAAGAGGCGAGGTCATGTTTCTGATCTTGTGCATGAATCGTGACGTCCCCCAGACCTGGCTGCAGACAGAGGGCCCGCCCTGGGCAGGTTGCTGGCCTGTGAGCACCGCTGTCCCGTCGCTAGAACGGGGCAGAGTGGACCAAATTCACAGTCGTGTGGAGTTGAGAATGCTGTTCGTGAGGTGCTCAGCCCCCTGCCAGGCCTCCCATAATGCTCTGCAGATGACCTGTGTGACAACGTCGTGACGTCATTCTCATTCTCACGTGCAGGTGAATCGGGTCTAGGCAAGTCGACTCTCATCAACAGCCTGTTCCTGACCGATCTCTACCCAGAAAGAATCATACCTGGAGCTGCAGGTAGAAACGTCCCTTCACCGTCCTCTGTACTTCTGTGTGACAGTTGTTGAAGAGTTCATGTGGTCTTTTACACTTTAGCCTTGTGTTTTGTTGGCTTTTGTTCAGCTTAAACACAAGGAAGGCGTCATTTCGGGAGGGAAGGGCATGCTGCACTTGTGCTGTAGACTCTGACCCGGGTCTGTCCTCGCCTAGTTTTTCTTTGTCTGTAAAGTGTGGTAAATAGTTCCTGTCTGCGGTGTATGTTTGACAAGAGGATCCAGTGACAGGGCTGTCTTAGAAACGTGTGTGAGCAGGAGGTGACTGGGAGTGGATGTCGTCCGACTCCGGTGTCAGCACACCCCGGCATCCATGAGTGGGTGTCGAGGGAGTGGATTAGGCCCATAGAGGCTGAGCCTGGGGCCGGGGCCGCTGCACGGGGCCAGGCCACCCTTTCACGAGTGGTGTTAAATTCAGTCTTTAGAGGAAAAGACATTCTACCTTCCCAGGCAGCCCTTTAATCTTGGCTTCAGCGTTTCCCTTGCTGACTTTGGGATCATTTTTACACAATCCTCATGTCACCTCCTGAGAACCTTCCTCAGAGAGAGGTAGTGACTTCCAAATCACTTGCTTAATAAGAAGAAAGTAACTAACAGGTCATTTCTTCTCTTCGCAAACTGGCTCACTGTTAAGGCACATTCTCTTATTAAGTTTGTTTCTTTTCTAGAGAAAATTGAAAGAACTGTCCAGATTGAGGCCTCGACTGTTGAGATTGAGGAGCGAGGGGTCAAGCTGCGCCTGACAGTGGTGGACACCCCTGGCTACGGTGATGCCATCAACTGCAGGGATTGGTACGCACTCCCCTGGGACACAGCGCCTATTTACATTTGTCCTAATGTATTCAAATTTATAGTGTCAATGACTGATTTCGCGGTTTGGAGTAACTATGTCATAAACCGAGATGATTTAAAGCACGTCAATGACGTTTTGAATAAGGAGTTTCACAGGGAATGGTATTTTTCTCGAAAAGCATCCTAGTGAGATCTGAGAGAGCCAGCCAGCCAGCCAGCGCTGGTGTGAGCGAAGCCGCCCAACCTGAGCCATGGCCATGGCCTCAACACTGGGGCACCGTGTTCCTCCTGCCGTGTGTGAGGACGTGGAATCTCTCAGACACACTCAAGACATGGTTCCTCTGAGGAGCTGCTCACTGGCATCATTTGCACAGACAAGGACAGGAAGGGATAGTGGCCGAGCGGCCTGTGCCAGGGCCGCGCCAAGAGCGCCGTGTTCGTTGACCACACAGAGCCCTGGCCCCGCTCACCGTGGGCAGGACGGGCACCGCCTCCTGCCCTGGACGAGCGGACAGAGGAGGGAAACCTTCCTCCTCCTCCTCCTGCTCCTCCTGCTCCTCCTGCTCCTCCTCTTCCTCCTCCTCCGTCAGGGACTTGTCCTTCTGCCAGTCGTCTTTGTGTCATGCAGATGTGCTGCTGCACAGTTTACGCACCTGCTCTGTCAGGGACTTGTTCTTCTGCCAGTCGTCTTTGTATCACGCAGATGTGCTGCTGCACAGTTTACGCACCTGCTCTCGTGCCCGCGTCCTCTGCTGCCACTGTACCCCTCGTCCCCGTCACAGACACCTTGTAAAGCGGTGGCAACCCTGGGTCTTTACTCGGTCGTCTCAGGCTCCCCGTGACTGTTCTTTTCAGGCTTTTGACCCCAGCACTTGGAGGTCATTATGTTTGGCAGTTTCCACACATCTCCGTCTTGCGAATCCAGGTCACAGCTTCCTTTCTCTCCTACAGATGAATTTTAGCTTGTATTCGGTAGGGGGTCAGGGGCTAGGAAGACTCATTTCGTCTTTGAAGTTAGGGCCCACCTGCCTTGGTGGCCCATGACCCTTGGCATCCGTGCTCCTCTCAGTTTTAAGACGATCATCTCCTACGTCGATGAGCAGTTCGAACGGTATCTGCATGACGAGAGCGGCCTGAACCGGCGGCACATCGTCGACAACAGGGTGCATTGCTGCTTCTACTTCATCTCGCCCTTCGGACACGGGTGAGTGGCCGCACGCCCCTGCTGTGGCGACTCGGGGTCCGTAACACCACGCGGGTGTGCATCCTGCCCCCAAACTGCACATTCCAATGTAAGAATTGAAATCATTTTGAGAGAAAAAGTTGTGTGTGATCTTTTTTCCCTAAGCATGTGGCACTTCTCAAATCATTTGTAGACTTAAGCCCTTAGACGTTGCGTTTATGAAGGCGATACACAACAAGGTCAACATCGTGCCTGTCATCGCAAAAGCCGACACACTCACTCTGAAGGAGCGCGAGCGCCTGAAGAAGAGGGTGAGTGTCTCACGGGAGTGGGGGCGTGAGATGTGGGGTTCGGTGGGGGTTTTTAAGCAGTATGTGGTACTTGTGGTTTTTTAGTACTTTGCCTTCACAAAGAGGTGTTGAGCCTTTACTGTCTTTCATAATTCACCTTAGGCGAAAATGCCGCCAGTGACTTACAGGGTGGCTGGTGAGCAGACTCCGCGACGCGTCCGGTAAATGGTGTGGCCGTGGGCGTGTGGTCACTTCCGTGAACTTCTCCTATTCCAGCTACACAGTTTGCTCTACACGGTCCACTTAGGAACGTGCACGAGTTGTAATAGTTGGGTGTCGTAGCGTGTTAAGGGCCCGTGTTTGGCCAGAGAGGTGTGGCGTTGCAGCTGTCTGCCTCCCGCTGTGCCCTCACTTCCCAGTGGCTGCAGCGCTGGCCGGTTGTCTCTGCAGCACCCTCTTCTGCATTACCCCATGAAGCTTCTTTGTTGCTTTTCTGGAATAAGTTTAACTATTTACCTTTTTAAAATTATATACTCGTTTGTGTGCTTAAGAAAGTCCAGACTCGCATGCTAAATTCTACAAATACGAGTTCCTTTGATTTTCCACAAAGCAAGCACTGGTAACAGTATCTGTCCTTCTGGAACATGTCTGTGTGTGTCTTTTTTTTCGGAGGAGGATCAAACCTATCTACATGTCATTCTGACATTTGACTTTCTGATATCCCAGTGCACCCAGAAAGCACTCCCACTTTCCCTGACTCTGCTGAGTGCACACAGAGCATTTCTTCAGTGTGTTCCTGGGCCTTCCCACCGCCCCCTCGGACCTGATGTCAGGAACCTCTGTTTGGGTCACCTGTGTGTTCCAGGAGTTTAGGACAGGAGCACTCAGCACTGTTTACGTAGTGAACGTCAACATCCGTCTCTCCTCGCAACTGTGTGTGAGACGAATTGTTAGGAAGGAAGTCGATGCACATTTAAATTTTTGAATGATGGATCCGTTTCCCTCAGATTTATGACCGCAGATCCCCAAAGCAGGCTCTTGTCTCCGCCTCCTGGAACAGTCCTGGGTTTGTTACCAGTGTTTGCCAAGGACGTCCCACCGGAGGGTGGGAAGTGGTGTCCCATTCCAGCGTGAGTCCCCCGACCGCTCAGACCGCTCTTGTGAGCCGCCGTCCCGCTGCTGGCCATGCGCATTCTCCCGGCCTCCCGTTTCCTGCTTTCCTTTTGTTTTCAGACGTGGCTATCATGTTGCAGATGACATCACCGTTTGATTTTGGTGTTTCCACGTTCTTCTGGCAATCTTCTCCATAGCAGTTATTAAATTGTGCTCCTATTTCTCAGCCATTTCCTTATTGTCTCAGGTGACTGACAGTCTGTTAGGAAATATTCAGGCCCTTGGAAGAGCCCCCGAAAGCTTGGGCATTTTTGTGCTTTACATAAGTGTTTTAAGCGGGAGCTTCATCTTTTATAGGGTGTTTGGTTCAGCGACGGAGACGGAGGGGAAGGGGCACGTCACAGCACGCTCCGTGCTCGTGTCCGATCCCGTATCCAAAACGCACAGGGCCCGATGGCAAAGCCTGCAGTGAGTGGGAACCTTTTTAGTGCTTCGTCTCAGGCCTTTATAATTCCTTCTCCCGGTCTGCGCCCCTCCCACTGCCGGTCCTCCCGCTGCCCGCCGGTGCTGCCCCTCCCTGGTCCCCAGGAGCCTCCTGCAGGCCTCCGCCAGCGCTGCTTTTTGTAGCCTGCACTTCGTGCTGTTCCAGCTGCTCTCAGGCTCTTCCACGCTGGCTCGCGGTCCAGCTGCAGGTGTCCTGTTTGGGCTTGGCATGTGGGGCCATCCCCGGCCTTCATCCTCACCCGTGGGCTTTGCTGTGTCCCAAGACCCACCTGCCTGCCTCTTTACCACCTTCCTGACTCCCGATCCTGGGATGTCGGCATCGCTTACTGTTATTCTATCACGTCATCCTCTGTGGCTTCTGCTTTTCCTGTCTGAGAACCCCACTTTTCACGTGACCCACGGGTGTGAACAGAAGCCTTCTTGCCCTCACAAGCTTGTCTCCCAGCTTCCCTGGCGCCGTGGATCGTCCCACAATCCTCGCAGTCACTCACACTGAGACGGCTGCTCATCCCGATTGCGCACTTCTCACTCCCCTCTTGCAATTCTGAATCGCCCATTTATTAACTATTTCCCAAGTCCATTTTCATCCACAGTGCGCGCCCTCTTTCTGGGGCCAGCATAGAGAGATGGCGTGGCAGGAGCGGGCAGAGCCTTTCCTCTTGCCGGCCGCTGCTGCCTCCATCTCCTTAAGGAAGGAGGAACTAGGGAAGGACAGGAAAGGACGCCAGGCAGTAAGATGCAGGAGTTGGGGCGGGGCAGAGGGCCTTTATCGGGGCCTGAGTGGATGCAGACTGTGCCTTAAGTCTAAGGTTTTGGTCATTCGAGGCCAGAAGGGTCATACTAAGAATAGATCCGTGAGCA